CAATCAATAAAGAAAAAAACGTTTTTTTTATTGTTAATGTATCTAATTGCTAGTTTTGAATTATAAAATTTCACTTGCATGAAAACAATTACACTAAAATAATGCTACCTAACTTCCACCTACAACTTTCGACTTCCGGAATAATACCCTGTGAATGAAATTTAAATAACAATAGAAAAATTACATCTTTTTTTCTCTCGCCGATGGAATCTCATATAATAGCACCTTTGGGCTCCCCGAAAATTTGCAAGGAAATTGCTTTCACGATTGTCTGTGAATCTAGTTAGTTTGATTTGAGCGTCCTATTTGAGGAAGCAGATTGTACCGGCACGAGGTTTGTGGGTAGACGGTAGAAATGAGTACATTACAAATGCTCCTATATAGCTAAAAAACTCATTAGGAAATTCGACATAAAAATTAGACATTAACGGTCCCTCCCGGAGGCGTTAATTTCATTTAATGCTTTTCGAAATGTTATGTTATCTTATTCTAATGCTACCTGGAAGAAAGTGATCTTTAATCGAACTGAAAAACTAATTGTTCTCTCTAGCAGATGCCTGTGACTTTGCTTGCGTAAAATATTTTTTTGGGAACGAAGTTCCTTTTCGAACGGTATAGTGGATGGGGTCTAGGTGTTTTTTTTTTTAAGTTTTTCCGTTCCCGCCCTGCCAACCTGAACAAATGATTCTTAACGTCTCATTACACATGAAATTACTATGGCTGCAATAAAAGTTTTTGTAGACAACACGGCTGGTATTTAAAATTCGCAGTATACTTAGCTATTTTCGGTATGTACCTATATCCGATTGTTATTATGAATAATTCGACACGTCCTTATAAATAAGAGTATGTTTTTATTTAGGTGAGTACTTTACGCATCCGTCCTTTTATTCGATAGTCTATACTTATAATATCACTTTTCATTAAGTATCCAATTGATCGATTCAATCATGCAAACTAACATTAAAACGGAATCTATTCTCTAGGCGCAACAAATATCGAATTTGACATAAAGTTTCATACATTTTATGAAATAGGGTAGGTTTGCAATGCAGCTGAACCGTATGAATGCGCGTAGAGTTTCAACATGGATTACACATACTTATTTTCGTGAAAAATTTGCTTTGTAACGAATAACACAATATTTACTGTGGAGTGGACAAATGGATTATTTGTCCACTCCACGGTAAACATTAAAATTGTTAATAGCTAGCGACCACCTATGACTTCGTCCGCTTTAACCTTCTCCGGGAACCTAAAATTTTTTCGGGTTAAAATGTATCGTATATGCGTTTATAAGCATTCATTCATCATCCAAATCTTTTTAGTAGTTCTTACATGATTGTATAACAACATACTTACAAATTTATAATATTAGTAGGTTTATAGACTCTGATTGGTTTGCTTTGTTGATAATAGAAACGGTGACTTGATAATTAATATTAATGTTTTAATATAATTGTTTTCATGCCATTTCCAAACTCAAACTCTAAAATAATTTATTCAGTCTAGGCTGTTACAAGCACTTGTAAATGTCGAGAGTTACGCCATCGGTTCACAAAAATACGGCGGGAGACCTTGTACTGAGAAGAACTGGCAAGAAACTCAGTCAGGCCTGTTTTTTCCACCCTGTATTATTATATACATAGTTATAATTTTTATTATTTTAAAGCATGTAACTGCTTGATGTTTGAATCTAAAGATCTTAATCCGTTCTTGCGTGATGAAGTAACAAAACATACAAACTTACACATTTTTAATATTAGCACTAAGTAGAATAAAGTTTAGTTAAATTTGTATCAGCATAAACTATTTTATCCGTTACCCTAGTATCTCATAACACAAGACTTTCAGTGCTTACTCTGGGGCTAGGCTAATTGCTGAGAGTTTTGGAAATATTTATTTATTTAATTCACTCAGTTATTGTTATATTTAAAACGACCTAAATATGCTAAAAAAACTTATCTAGTTTGTCGATTTATACATTTAGGAGTTCAGTGTTTCATACACTTTACCATCGCAATGCTGTCGGTTATAAAGAGAGGTAGGCCCTGTACACGTACACACACATGAAACGTACTCTTGCTACGTGAATTTCAGATGTATTATAATGGTATAAGATACACAAAAAACCATTCTATGAGAATCACAAAAGCCTCTTCTCTTAAGTTTACACAGGAAATGCATTACGCATGTCCCGTCGGGTGCGAAAACCTCATTTTGCTACTACCAAAACAGAGCTGCTGGGATTAAGTCGGAAATTACTACTTATTGTAAATTTAGTAAAATCCTAAATTTAGTATATTATTATATTAATAAACATGAACTAATGGAATGTAAGTACGCACATGACTTTCGAAAGACTGCACCGAATTGGAAAATTCTTTGTTGATGTTGTGTTCGTTAATGTCAGCACAAGGTTTGTATGAAGGACTTTTTGTAATCACCAGAAATTTTATAAATCGACTAATTATAATGGTTTTTGTATTGAAATCTCAACGCTTCTTCGTTTAGCATTTGTATAATGTACCGAAGAAGCCGGACATACCACTAGTCTGTATTTATAAAAGGCGATCGTTACTGACTGACAAATCTTTATAGGCATAGCACAAATCACTGAATGGATTGCGTTGAAATTTGGCACACAGATAGCTGTTATGCTGTAGGCGTGCGTTAAGGAAGGATTTTTTAAAACTCACCCACCGTAAGAGTAAAACGGGGATTCATACTTTCTATGGAGCACCACGATCGCGAAATTAATCCTTTAGCTTTAAGTTCTGTAGAAATTGTATTCATTGATTCATTCAACATCAAATCTAACGCGGGCGAAAACGTGTGGAAGAGCTAGTATATAATGAAATTGCAAAACAATTAATACTGTATAGTTTCGTAAGTAAGTAAAATAAGATCAAGAAGAACAGGTACTTAAGGTTAAACTAACGCTGAAACATGAATATTTTCATCAGGCAGGACATGTTTCGTAGGGTCCAGCAGTTAAACATGTTTTCCATGATATCAAAGAGTGATGACCGCACTTATAACAAGTGAGCCAAAAATACTCACTCATAATACGATATTGATTTTGTACAAAAAAGTAAAGTAAAACCGACATTAAAAAAAAGCTAAAACATGACTACGATTTTATTATCAGGCACGACATTGTTTGTCGGGTCCAGTTGTATAACATGTTTTCCATAACATCAAAGAGTGATAATCACACTTATCACATGTGAGTGATAAATGCACACTCATCATACGATGATGATATTGACTTTGTACAAAAAAGTAAAGTAGGTTAGATATAATCTTCTTCTACCTATATCATATGAAGAAATGTTTATCATTATTTTAAGTCTGGGATGCGGCAATTATGATATCGCTAATGCTTAAAATTGATTGATTTTTTTATTAGATAATTTGTTAACACACATTATTATCTTTGCAGCTGTTGCATAAAGATAAACTGAAATGGTATTTTCTGTTATATAATAAATTATTCAAGCATGAAAATGTTATTATTAAGTGGACTTATTACTTAGCATTCGTATACTATTGGTGTGGCGCGTGTAAATAGCCGACACCTGGGGTGGATTACTCCGAAATGATAAATTATGTGGTTCAATACCAGGAAAAAAGAAGCGCCCACTTACCTCCAGGACGATGGGTTGCGTGGTCTCCGACGGGCGTAACTTGAGGCGGCTGGACCCTGCTTTGCCGTCATCCCAGAAGGCGCATGTCACAATTATATTCTATACATTCTCACGAATATTTTAATAATCTCATAGTGTCCGAGAGAAAAGTCGTATTGACAGTTTTTGAAGGAAGAGAGTAAAATCACTTTTTTACACGAAAGGCACCATAAACAATGTTTGTTCCGGTAACCAGCCAGTGCCCTCAGCCACTGCTGAGGATTGATTCCCACAAATAAGTGGGTACGAGAAGTTTTCCTGGTATATTGCCCCACATAATAAGATAGAAACATAATTTTACCATCTAAAGTAAAGTTTACTAGAAAAAAAAAGCTTGCCTTGCAGCTTAAGGCTAGGAAAATTTCAACGCGGCTAATAGGGCCGTGGTAGCATAATGGTCAGTGCATTCGCCCGGATAGCGAAGGACGCGGGTTCGAGTCCCGTCCGCTGCCTGGTCCGCGTGAATTTTTTTCTAGTAAACTTTTCTTTAGATTTAAATATCTAGCAGTTAAATGCTTAAAAAATAAATAAAATCATAACTATAATTTTACCAATTAAACTAAAACCATCCTTATGGCGCTCGACCAACTATGAAGAATAATACAAGTTATTTCAATTCAGTTATTTGGTTTTATCTCTTCCCAGCAGACTCGGGGAAGTTGTACCGCCTACGGTCGTGATTTTTAGCTTAACTTTGATTTGGTATTTTGATAACGAATTAAAATTAATTAAAAATACGTTTTGGGCAGGTTTTGCAGTTTCCGTACGAGAAAAAAATGCAATATTTATTCATTTTTATTTAATCACTGTGGTTTCAACCGCATTAATTTAAGAATAAAGGTTTTAGTGAGTCACCCTTGAAAGATAGACATATTGCGGTTACGATCTTTTCTATAGAACTTCAGGGGAAATATTCCGTCAAACATGATTTTGACAATGACTGTTTGACATTGACATTTCGGACTCGCAAACTATTCTAATTCGAAATTGGTTCGTGCTAAGGGTACAGAATACAAATTTCAAATTCACCACCGCGGATTCCATCGTGAAAAGTGAGTTTTTACAATGCACTGGCTGTTTACGAATTACTTAATTAGCCCTATATACCCCTATATACTATATAGCTTACTAAACAATAAGTATACTAATACCACTGTAAAGGAAGCGCTGTCAATAAAACACTTTTTTATCAATAACAAAAGATAATTTTGCATAATGATTCTCATTAGTAAAACTGTTGTAGTATAATGACTTGCAATATTTGTTCCTTTGCAGACGAGTGATTAAAAAAAACATCACGCCGTCTGCTCCTGATAACCTTAGTATATATATGTTTGTGGTTTCGATTATTGCATGTCATTGCCTTCCGTAACGCCACACGAAATATTACGCATTTCGTTGCTGCCATGGCGATGCCAAAAATTTCCGAGATTTTATTTTTATTTTTATTAGTTTTAGTGGTGAAAAATGAGGCAGCAAGAATATTGGCAATATACCCAACACCGTCTATCAGCCACCAAGTAGCGTTTAGACCGTTGACACTCGAACTGATCAAAAGAGGCCATGAAGTGGTAGTTATAACGACAGATCCTATATTCCGGAAAGGTGAAGGTCCAACTAATTTGACAGAGATCGACGTCCACGATGCGTCTTATAATACTTGGAGGAAAGGATTGTTGGAATCGGATCTTACGCACGGAAGTAAAAACGATATGATCCCTCAAATGAAAGTGATGTTTAAATTGCTCTTAAAGATAATTACAGTACAGTTGCATCACGAGGAAATCAACAACATACTAAAAGGCAATATAAAGTTTGACCTTTTGATTCATGAAGCGTTCTACTTGTCACACTTAGCTTTCGCGCATGTCTTGAAAGTGCCCGTGATACAGATAAGTTCTCTGGGAGCGGTTCACGATGTGACGACTATCGTCGGGGCGCCTAACCATCCATTGCTGTACCCAGATTCTATTCAACAGAAAATTTTCAATCTGTCGCTTTGGGACAAATTGAATAATCTATACATGAAGTACCAAATGAATTCAGAGGCGCAAAGATTCGAAAGAGGGATGGAAGATTTAGTCAAGAAAGAATTTGGTCCGCATGTGCCCGCTATGAGTGAATTAAAGAAAAAAGTCGATTTAGTGATGCTGAATGTACATTCGCTTTGGGAGATGAATCGGCCTACGCCGCCCAATATGATTTACTTGGGAGGTTTACATTTGAAAACTGAGAAGGAGTTGCCTAATGTAAGTTTATAAAATATTAATTTAGTTAAGTATGCTTTAGTAATTAAGACACAAACTATATTTCTTATAAGAATTCTATAGTTCCGATTAAACTTACTGAAAGGTGGTGCGGCAGAGATATTCCTTCACTTCTACAACCAGTAATCTTTTGTAAGAGGCGTGAAGAAACAACTTGCAAAGTGGTGATATAAAATGCTGTGAACATTTTTTTAAGATTTAGCTGACTGACTTTTCTAGCTTCCTCTTTATTGTTTTGTTATAGGTATTCAATAATGCAAAGAAATAGAGTTTTAATACTTATTCATAATGTTTTTTTGTTCCTTGAATACGTATTTGGATTTTGCATACAACTTGGCACTTATTTAGATCTCTACGTATTTGCGGCGAAGCTCACAGCCAAGAAAAATTTTGGTATTGAACATGGCTCTCTTTTTTACATTTATGTTTTTGGTGGGATTATTATACAAAACAAAAGAACATGCTCTTATTTTATTTACTAAATAATAACGGTAAATACAATTCCCTTAACAAAAATCCCATTGGAGATAAGAGGACACTTAATTTATTGATTGTTACTTTAGTAATATATCAAAACATTAAAATTCATATTCACACTATTATTCTAAATGCGTAAGTGTCGTAAGTCTATCTGTCTGTACTACTTAACCGCTGAACGATTTAGATGATATTCAATTTGGAAATAGTTTGATACCCGGGAAAGGACATAAGATTGTTTTATTCCTGAAATTATCCTTTAAAGAAGTGAAAAGAGGGATAGAAAGTACGAGGAATCAATTATTCCACGCAAACGAAGTCGCGGGCACCCACTAGTATCCTTATATTGGACCCAATCTCTTTCGATGTCAAGTTGGTAACGACGGTATTAATTCGAATAATAATATCAGATCAATTCAATATAATAATATCAGTTTATGGACCATTTAATTTGATTGAATATTTTTATTACAGGATATCAAATCGTATCTCGATTCATCGAAAAACGGCGTCATTTACATAAGTTTTGGGACCAACGTCGAGCCGGCTCTGCTACCTCCGCAAAAAATCCAAGCCCTCATAAATGTGTTCTCCAAACTCCCATACGACATATTGTGGAAGTGGAACAGAGATGAATTGCCGGGCCGTAGCAAAAACATCAAAATATCAAAATGGCTGCCGCAAGCCGACCTATTAAGTGAGTTTTTTTCCTAAATAGTACAAAAAACATTATTTTTCCTGCTTATATGTCAATGGTGAAAAAGGAAACAGTCAAGCGTGAGTGTAACGACACGAAATTTCGATTTTTTTTCATCCTTTAGAACTGAAAAGGGGTTAAAGGTGCAAATAATCCTTGAAAGGAAGAACTTAATCTAGGAAGCTATTATTTATTAGCCATGTGAATTATGCTAGGCTAGCATCTAATAATATTCTATTGGATGTACTAGAAAAGTTTCAGAGTTTAGAAAGTGATATTTAAAAACGTTTTAGTGAGTCTCTCTACCATTAGGTCAATTGCACCATTTATATTAACAGTTAAATTGTATACCACCCTTAACATCCCTTAAATTAGATGAATAAGCTTCGTAAACGACCATAATAACGAGCTTATGGAATACTAATTACAATCATGGTTAATCCCACAAAAGTTGTATCAAAACTACGTATGTATATACCTGAGACAAATTAGGAAATAATTATTCCTTAAAATTTCAGGACACCCTAAAGTTAAACTGTTCATCACTCAAGGAGGTTTGCAGTCCACCGACGAAGCGATAGTAGCTGGGGTTCCGATGATCGGTTTCCCGATGTTGGGAGATCAGTGGTATAACGTTGCCCAATACGTGCACCACGGTATCGGCTTACAAATGGACATGGAAACTTTAGAGGAGGATAAATTCAGAAACGCCATCAATGAAGTTGTGAATAATGAGAGGTTCGGTCCATTTTTTTGCCAAATTTTGTTTGGTTTGTAGTAATATGTTCTATTACTCCATTGTTTTCGCTAAGAATGTCATCTTTATCCTTTCTGCAGACTTTCTATCTCTCTTTGATATAACTCTCATATATATACTATACCACAATTTTTATTCATATTCTCTTTTCGCAGTTGCCTCTTAATCATTCTATTTTTGGTTCTATTTTTCAACATTCTCTAATCTACTAATTATATGCTTTAACAATGGTCCTTTTGATACTGCATACTAAATATATTTATCCACTCAATTAGTATTAATAAGATAATATGATTAATTACCTAAACATTAGATAATTATTTTAGGATCAGGGGCTGTACTTACCTGTGTTACTGTGAATAGGCACTGGCTATCAGATCAATATAATAATTACGATATAGTCAAATAATAATTTGTTCATAACTAAGTGACTTTTTGCTTCTGTTTTTATACACTTGCGCTCATCTACTTAGAATTATTTGTACACCCACATATTGATGTTGTTCGTGTGAATAAATAACTAATTCCTTGTATGAGTAATCGGCATTTTTGTTTGAGCAGAGCTCAAACTAAAGATCAAAATCAACTCAACAACAAAATTGATATGTCAACAATGATATTTCTATGAGGTACCATTTTTAAATAAACTTAATTTTGGGTGGTAAAGAAGTTTAACAAACAACCAAATACCATTAACCTTCATAAGTAGTATACACCGGTTTTGAAGTTGTCACCATCTCAGAAGACCTTGGATCGAATCCCGGTGGAGAAAATATTTGCATGAATACGAGGATTCGTACCTAAAAAAAGGAAATGGACAAGTTTTAGAAAATGATTTCATGATATACAGACACTATGGCATCTCACTTGTATGTGACGTCACACGACTGTCTTTATAACGTCAAACTGTACTACGTAATGTTCTTTGACCGGAAGTTTACTAGCGTGTGATGTAATTTAAGCCTTTCGTCTTCTATCCAAGGTGTTTTCGACCACGTAACCATAGAATAAAAAAATAAAATTATATCTTTGTAATGATTTTTTAAAAAAAGTGATTTATTATATGTTCTCTCAGAATGGTAATTTTGCTGCTAATATGCCAACAATTGGTACTTTATTTCTCATACTGCCAAATTCTGTTCTTTGATAAATTGTGTAAGGAAGTTATGATCTAATTTTAGTAAATATGCCGATTGTAAACAATTAATACGTAGTGTCCAAATGATACTATAATACTATTTTTATCAACTACCAGTCACTATCTACACAATGAACTTTACGCTAGACGTTGATAATAAGTTTGAGCCTCTTTATATGATAATTAGTCTCTTTAGTGATAAATGGTTTGCTAACAAGGAGATTCAGATTAGTTTTCTCGCTTGGCCACTTGGTATAGTTATATTGACTGTGGGCAAACCGTTTTTTTACTAGACCGTACGCATCATGTTTATTCTATCTCAATTGCCTCGTCATTATCAACAACACAAGGTAATTTATCATCCATTTGCTTTTTTATTCTATGTTAATTACAGACCTTGATGTAAATTGGTGGCAATTTTAGAATGGTGTTGAGACTTGTGCTCGTAAATTAACTTGACAGCTTTGTTAATATTGTGCCTCTTCATTCCTCGCCTCTTTGAGCTACTGTCGTATGCAAGAATCAAAAAACATCTTCATTTAAATCTCATGTTACATATTTTTTAGTTAGTTCACACATATTCCTGACTTACCGAAACCCAATTGCTAACCAAACTTTTGTACTATCTATAACTCAAATTGGTATAGATAGTAATAACTTATATTTATCAAGTCAGAGTGACAACTTTATTTGTAGTCAACTGGTATCTGATAACATTTACCCTTGAATTTGCCTTGACCGAAATATTTAGTTTTAATGATATTTAGGGTCATCAACCGCCGATACCGCCAACGCAATATGAATTGTTTTACGTACGATACTTCACTATCAGCTTTTATCTGAACGTTACCTTCGTTCTTTAAGATAACGTCTTACTCACAGTCGATATTTTTTGTGTTCCTCTTACTGTAGAATCTCTCCCTTCTCCTCCCTGAATTCCTTACTGACACTTCTTCTTCACTTTATCCTTTCTCGTCACCTCACACAACCGTCTAAACATACGCTTTCTCTTATTCATCAACAATTATTAGTTGCTTTCCGATTGCATACTGATACTTTTTTTTACTTTCTTTTTTATCATCATCCTATACATCCGTCTGTAAAATGTAAAATATACGCTGTTTTTTATTTGTCGACAGGTCTTTCTACGATAAGGTCACTTATGTTTAGTTTCTTTACTTCAGATATCGACGCAACATCATGCATCTCAGGACCATAATACAAGACCAGCCCCAGACCTCGTTAGAGCGTGCCGTGTGGTGGACGGAGTACGTCATCAGACACAGAGGCGCACGGCACCTGCGCTCTCCAGCTGCCAACATTACCTGGGCGGAGTACCTGGAATTAGAACTCGTATTTTACGTACTTGCGGCATGCTCTGCTTTTCTCGTAGCTTTAATTTTCATTGTTAATAAAGTATCAAAAATGGTGAGGCTAAGTATAAAGTTGAAATCTAGTTAGGTAGAATCGATATTTTATCTAATAATCATTGTAAATATGACGAGTTAGATATTGTTCCGTAAAGGTTTGACAAATAATCTATTTTAAAATTATTTGTTGAAGAGTCAAGTAAGTGATATAATAAATAAGAGAAATTGAGCGTCGTTGTGTTTAAGTATACTTATAGTCTTTTAATAGTATTAATGTTATTGTAAATATTGCCAAGTTAATTATATATTGATTTTTTATTTAAATTATATTGCGTTACAAAAATATGTTGTTTCAATGATTTGCGACAAGTTATTTATAACCTAATCTTTATCTTTTATAACTTAAAGTTTCAATCCAAAATAAAAACAGTTTAGATAGTAAATAATACTAAAAATATTTATTCATTTGTTTACTTTGTACACACAATAATATATTGGAGAAAAAGAGAATCAAGAGATATGTACAATACATACATATACAATATATAAAAAATGAAACTCTTGATTTTTGGGGTCATTCATAGCTAATTAGGTATAAGAATAAAACAAAAGGTACTCTAAATAATTGTTAACATCATTATTGTGTAATGTACCCTATTAAACGCAAATAAATGGTTTTATTTGATTTTAAATGCTCATACATTGCCTGTGGATATGATAAACGAATTAGCTTTAGGTTCTTTGAGAATCCCTTAGCGACCTAACAATTTTTGGGGATAAAAAGTATCTAATGTCTAAATCCAGGTCATAAAAAATATGACGGGAAAACATACAAACTTTCACAGTTAAAATATTAGTAGGAAGTAGGACAAAATATACTTAGAGTCTGTGCGGAAAGAGAATGGGATGTAGATTGGAGGGCGCTGTAGTGCTTTTCTACCGTATTTATAAGGTTTTACCCCTTTTAGACATGATTAAATACAAAAAACCGCAAGAAATCACAACAACAAACAAATCCGTATCAATACAAAACTTTGACGTTTTACAGATTGCTGGGTTTGATTGCCAAATAAAAATCTTAATGTTAGTTCCGTTTTTCGCCACGCCCATTCTATTTCTGCACAGACTCTATATTTGTATTTGTATAATGTATACTATCCGTTACCCTAGTATCCAATAACAACTTTCAGTGCTTACTCTGGGGCTAGGCTAATTGGTAGGTTTCGAAATATTTATTTATTTCATTTACTCAGTTAATGTTATATTTAAAACGACCTAAATATGCTAAAAAAACTTATCTAGTACGTCGATTTATACATTTAGGAGTTCAGTGTTTCATACACTTTACTATCGCAATGCTGTCGGTTATAAAGAGAGGTAGGTCCTGTACACGTACACACACATTAAACGTACTCTTGCTACGTGAATTTCAGATGTATTATAATGGCATAAGATACACAAAGAACCATTTTACGGGATTCACAAAAGCCTCTTCTCTTAAGTTTACACAGGAAATGCATTACGCATGTTTCGTCGGGTGCGAAACCTCATTTTGCTACTACCAAAACAGAGCTGCTGGGAATAAGTAGGAAATTACTATTGTATTTATAGTAAAATCTTAGATTTTATATAATTATTATTATATTAAACATGAATCTCTGAAATGTAAGTACGCACATAACTTTTGAAAGAATGCACCGAATAGGAAAATTGTTTTTCTGTAGTGTTCGTTTATATCAGGACAAGGCTTATACAAAGAACTTTTTAAAACCACCCGAAATTTTAAAAAAAACGGCTACTTATAATGTTTTTGTATTAAAATCTCAACGCTTCTCCATTCATCATTTATATAATGTACCGAAGAAGCCGGACAAACCGCCAAGTCTGTATTTATAAAATTCAACCGTTATTAACTAATATATCAAGGCATAGTACAAATCACTGAATGGATTGCATTGAAATTTGGTACACAGATAGCTATTATGCTGTAGGTGTGCGTTAAGGAAGGATTTTTTCAAATCTGATGAACTGAAACCTTGGAGGGGTAACGTGGTACGGGGATTTATAGTTTGTATGGAGCACCAAGATCGCGAATTTAATCCATTAACTAAAGTTTTGTAGAATTTGATTGTATTCATTGATTCACTCAACATCAAATCTAACGCGAGCGAAAACGCGGACAAAAGCTGGACAAAATGGAGATGCAAAACAATTAATAGTGTATTATTTCGTAAGTGAGTAAAATAAGAACAAGAACAATAGGTACTTAAGGTTAAACAACGCTGAAACATAACTATGTTTAAATCTAAAGAAAATATAACTAGAAAAAATTCCACGCGGACCAGGCAGCAGACGGGACTCGAACCCGCACCCTTCGCAATCCGGGCGAATGCACTGACCAATTATGCTACCGCGGCCCACACGGACCGCGTCGAAATTCTTCTAGCCATTCTTAAGCTGCAAGGCAGCGCCATCTCTTCGCATTATAGGTAACCCACAATATCAAATGAATACTTTTACAAGTATTAAACATTTGAAAGAAGAAATAGCAATTATAGTTATGATTTTTTATTATTCATATTTCATTCATTTATTATTCATTTATTACCATTTTTATTATGGTCAGTGCATTCGCCCGGATTGCGAAGGGTGCGGGTTCGAGTCCCGTCTGCTGCCTGGTCCGCGTGGAATTTTTTCTAGTTATATTTTCTTTAGATTTAAACATCAAGCAGTTACATGCTTTAAAAATAATAAAAAATCATAACTATAATTGCTATTTCTTCTTTCAAATGTTTAATACTTGTATAAGTATTCATTTGACATTGTGGGTTACCTATAATGCGAAGAGATGGCGCTGCCTTGCAGCTTAAGAATGGCTAGAAGAATTTCGACGCGGTCCGTGTGGGCCGCGGTAGCATAATTGGTCAGTGCATTCGCCCGGATTGCGAAGGGTGCGGGTTCGAGTCCCGTCTGCTGCCTGGTCCGCGTGGAATTTTTTCTAGTTATATTTTCTTTAGATTTAAACATCAAGCAGTTACATGCTTTAAAAATAATAAAAAATCATACCTATGTTTTTTTATCAGGCAGGACATGTTTCATCGGGTCCAGTAGTCAAACATGTTTTTCATGATATCGAAGAGTAATGACCACACTTATAACTAGTGAGCCAAAATACTCATTCATAATACGATGATGATATTGACTTTGTACAAAAAAGTAAAGAAGGTTAGATATAATCTTCTACTACTAATATTTTCATATGATGAAATGTTTATCATTATTTTAAGTCTGAGTTGCGGCTATTAAGATATCGCTAGTTCTTAAAATTGATTGATATTTTTAAAAAAATAATTTATTTATGCAAATGAAACAGCTGTAAAGATAATGTAAAATTGTATTTACTCTTATATAGTAAATTTTTATGCAAGAGAATTTTAGTATTAAGTGAACTTATTACTTAGTATGCATATGCTTTGAAGAATAATACAAGTAATTTCAATTTAGTTTTATCTCTTACTAGCAGACTCGGGGAAGTTTCTACCGCCTACGGTCGTGTTTTGAAGCTTAATATAATTTAGGATTTTATAACGAATTTAATTTAATTAAAAATACGTTTTGGGCAGGTTTTGCAGTGTCCGTGAATATGAGAAAAATAATGCAATTTCATTTATAAGTCTGATATCTTAGCTGTATCAATATGACCCACCAACCTTTTATACATTTTTATTTAATCACTGCGCTTTCGACCACATTAATTTAAGAATAAAGGTTATAGTGGTTCATTCTTGAAAGATAGACATACACACATCAAAAGTGTCTAGGGATCAAGCATTTTTATGCGGATTTCTTGAGATTGAGATGTGGCTTTGTAATAAATTTATGATTTTATAAATTTATATGGATCCTTTTTGGTGCATTTCATAATTTGAATCAGGAACTGTGAATCAAATTCGAGTAAAAGATGAAAATCAGCTGTCAATATTTTCCCTATAAAAACATACAACGCATTGAAGACATTATTAGTGCTACTGTTTCCCTACTACTGATTAAAACCAACGTTATTATGGAGCGGCGACGTCATTTAAGCAGGGAAGAAATGCTCAGAGCCGTGGGAATGATAGAAGCTGGTTCCCGGCAACGTACTGTGGCTTTAGCTCTGAATACAAGTCAGAGTGTTATCAGTCGACTTTGGATACGATACCGAAGCACTGGTACCGTGGCTGAGCGCCATGGAGGACGGTATCGCTGCACCACACGGAGACAAGACCGATACATTCAAATCTTAACTCGAAGAGCTCCAACAATAACCGCCATGATGTTAGCCGTGAGGCTTCATCACTCTTCAGGGAACTTAATTAGCGACCAAACAGTCAGAAACCGCTTGCATGAAGTGAACCTTCATTCCCGAAGACCGCTACGGGTACCACCTATAGCAATGCACAATCGTAGGATTCGATATCAATGGGCTCTTGAACACAGAAATTGGGCAGAAGAACAATGGCGTTTCGTGTGCTTTTCTGATGAGTCTCGTTTTGGTATGAGACCGGATACAAGACGTATACGACACTGGAGAACCCCTGGACGCCAACAGCGATTAAAATCCTGCCAGGAAGTCCATCCTTATAGTGGTGGAACCATCATGGTATGGGCGGGTATTTGGATCGGCGGAAGAACTGAGTTGATTTGGATCAGAGGCAACCTCAACGCTCAAATTTATGCTGAGACGTCATCGTTCCTCTACAAGTGCAAATCGGTCCCTTATTTCAGTTAATGCATGATAATGCACGACCGCACACCGCAAGAGTTGTAAGACAGACTCTCGCCGCAGCTAACATCAATGTCCTGCCCTGGCCTGCTCAGTCGCCAGACTTGAACCCGATTGAGCATGCATGGGATATGCTACAGAGAAGAGCTCTGCCGAATATGGAGGGTATCCAGTCGCAAGAAGACCTTTTTTTGTTGTTGCAACGAACATGGGCGGCCATTCCACAGCGTGATTTGGATGAACTCATTTTGAGTATGCCAAACCGATGTTCTTGTGTTGTTAGTGTTCGCGGTAGAAATACGGATTATTAATTGTTTAAGTTACCCAATAAAATTTTAGAGAAAACTGTTATTTCAGTCTTTTTTTCGAACTTTTGTGTTAGTGGTTCAAATGTCAAAAATCCCTTTATTAGGAAAATGGCAAATTTCTTTATTAATGCAAAGGTGACTTGGTTTATCGTTACTGTGACAAACGAAAACACTTTATTTGATGAATCCTTAAAGAAAATTTTAATAAATATCAATCAGGAGAAAAGTTATTGCAAAAATATATGTTGATCCCTAGACACTTTTGATGTGTGTATATTGTTACTTTAAATAGCATTTAAAATTAGGACCCATATGGTTTTGACAATCCCTAGCTAAAAATAAATGTTATATTAAGCAAAAACTTTTTACGCAGTTTTGAAGCTGATTTATTAGCTATGTTTATAGTGTGTTTAAAAATATGTTATTATTGCTTAACCTAACTTGATTATATTTTTGCTACAGACCATTGAAACTTATAACACTAAGTGGGCCCATAGATATGTTCCTAAGTAATGTAGTAATGGACGACCTCCGTGGCCGAGTGGTTTATACGCCGGGTTTCATGGCGTCGCCGACTTGAGAGGTCCCGGGTTCGAATCCCGGTGGGGGCAGATGTTAGTGTGATGAATACGAGCATTTGTACTCCAGTCATGGATGTTTAATATGTATTTCATATAAATATACTTATATATGTACAATATATGTATTCTATCCGTTACCCTAGTATCCCATAACACAAGCCTTTACAGTGCTTACTTTAGGGCTAGGCTAATTGGTGTTAGTGTTGGAAATTATTATTATTAAGTAAAATAGGGGTGATGACGGGGTACAGTAAACGAAATTCTATTTAGTCCGTCAGTTAGATGATCAAAAAATAATGGACAAGTATTTTTTCTTTAGGCATTCAACCAAAAAATGACAAAGTTATAGCGCATCAAAGTTTGGGAGTAGGGGCTCGTGACGTCACTTTTTAGTGATTTTTCACTTAAAAGTGTACTCAAACGTGACGTCATGCGACTTTTTAAATGAATATATCTCTGCAATGTTTATATTATGTGAAAAAAGAAAAAATACGTGTCCAACACTTTTTAATAATCTACCTGATAAACGAAGAAAAAAAATTAATCATCATCCCTATCGCTTCAAATCGGACCGGAGAATCCAATCGGAGAAGTACTTTCTAAAATTAACGCGTTCAACCAAACAAACAAACTAACTCTTCAGCTTTATAATCTTAGTATAATTTTAGGGTTCGAAATAGGGTATATTCCAAATGTTTTGAAAACTGCTTACATTTAAAGATTGGGAGAAACAATTTAACAGAAAAATAAAAATAAATTAATTAATGTCTTTTTTTCTCCATTAAACTTTAAATTTATTTTTAATGGTTTTAAAGGAAATTGCTCAAGGTAATTCTTGGCGTAATTTATAATTTAATTTACAGTCATTAGATTTTAACGGACACCTTTGTATAATATATTTACTTTAAAAAGGACTTTTAATTTTACCGGTTTGGAAAACATACGAATCATTTTTAATGGTTATGGGTATTGTGACATTCAGCCAAAGACTAATCGAAGTTGTTTATAAAACATAAAAACAAATCTATTTTGTAAAGATCGAAAAACCAAATCATTTTTTTATTACACTGTGGTATTAATATCCACAACTATATTATCATTTTCACTAGATGCAAATGTGTTCAGACAATTATTATAGATGATAGGCGACATCATAAAGTCTATTGCCATACATTTTCCGCCAAACACCTCCATAAACATATTATAATCTGTATATATGTTAGACTTTAAGGTATCTATCTATGGGCCTACGTTCCCTGACTATAAATAAGTAAAATTATAAGGTGTGATACACTAAAAATTTAAAATATGGTTATCTTAAAAACATAACAAAAATAATGAAGCTACTGAATATATGGCTATAGAACCTCTAAATCTCTTAGCTTTCTTTGGTTAACGAGAGTTTAAAAATTCTCTCTAATCTGTGGCTCATTCACAATCATCACACAGTTTCTGTCACAGAGTACCTTATTATAACCGGAAATGACACCTGACTTTAAAAGTTACTCTTATGCATTAACTTTAAAAACAGGCAACTATCTGTTAATCTACATGCTCTATATACCTGAAACTAATCCATAATTTCGGTACTTGGCTTGAATTCCCTAGTTTACTATATAACTTATTTGTTTTCTTTTATTTTAATTTGTTCAGTGTATATGGTTTAAAGAAGTTCTCAGGGGTGTCCGTCAATAATATTCGTTTTTACAGTAATTTATATATAATTTCGAATCTAGGATAAAATTTTTCATGATAATTGGTCTTTAGGCCAAACATGTATGGAAGCTGAGCAATCTCCTTTAACGCCAAAGCGCTCGGTTCGATGATGTCTACTGTGTGACGTCAACTTTGCGTAAAGAATTACATCTATGAAGTCTGAGGACGATCTGTGAACGATTTCTTTTCTTTTTAAACATTTTGTGTAAGTATTATACTATAAATTTATCCCCGAACGTATAAAAAGTTAATAATTTGACCTTCAGATGATTACATAACATAAACAAAGTTGACGTCACACAGTAGACGTCATCGAACCGAGCGTTTTGGCGTTAAATTTAAAACCATTAAAAATAAATTCAACTTTTATTGGTTTAATGGAGAAAAAAGGACATCAATTAATTTCTGTTAAACCGTTTGTCCTAATCTTTAAATATAAGCAGTTTTCAAAACTTTGGAAAATACCCTATTGATGTGTTCTTAGTCCGTCTCTCACAGTCTATTTATGAACGGATTTAGTTAGACACGTACATTTTTCACAGAATGCATGTTACAGTGGCAGTTGCCACACAAATAATAAAATAAACAAAAGTTTCCATATTATGTCAGGTAATTTATTCGGCTTGTTTTGCTCGGCCTAGTTTTTTTTTGTATTCTAATTACGGTAGAAGCGAAGACTTCGTGCGCAAAACTGGTTCACAATTGTTTTTTTTTTTAACTAAAGTAGTTACATCGAGTCTGGTCCCTGAGAAATATTTATTCTATTTTAGTTAGAAAAAGCCCTTTTGAATTTACTGTATTGATGATGTTCTTCTGTATACATTATAGGGATTTTGTAAAATGAGAAAAAAGTTGCAGCCGTGCTATTCTGTAGGAAAAAACTCACTTTTCATCGCGGAATTCGCGTGTTATTTGAAATCAGTACCCTTAGCACGAACCATTATCGAGTTCGAATAGTTTACGAGTGCGAAATGTCGATGTCAAATTTTGTATGGAAACTTGAACAGCAGCGCCATAAAGTACGTAACGAAAACTAAAAATCAATACACATTTGACAATGACATTTTGAACTCGCAAACTATACGAATTCGATATTGGTTCGTGCTAAGGGAACAGAATACAAATTTTAAATCCACCATCGCGGATTCCGTCATGAAAAGTGAGTTTGTTTTTACAATTTAAATATGGTCGTTCCCTTAATAATTATAAAGACCGGTTGTCAAAGTTTCGTGTAGTCTCCTTACAGGCCAGACGTAAAGGATAAGATTTACTTTGCTTTCATAAGATTCTGCATTTAACATCGATACGCCAGCTTTGCTTTCGTCACTCGCAGTTAATACGTGGCATAGATTTTTCGTTTTTTTAAAAATAACACCTCTTATTATAATCCTATAGTCAGAATGTGTAGAACTTATAATGAACTAGCAGCCCGCCCTCGCTTCGCTTCGGTGTAGAGCTGAAGTGTGACTACAGTTTTTGTTCTCAGGCTTGTATTATACACAATGACATTCATCTATGATTCTTCTTATACCTGCATGCAAAGTCTCAGCCCGATCGGTTTAAAATTGACAAAGATTCATATAAACTTTCATTCCCTATTTTACCCCCTTGGATAATTGATAATTGATCAAAATCCTTTCTTAGCGCATGCCTACATCATAACATCTACCTGCATACCAAATATCAGCCCGATCCGTACAGTAGTTCGGGCTATGCGTTGATAGATCACTATGTCAGTCACCTTTGAGTTTTATATATACAGATTTTCAAGGCATAACAAAGGTATTGATGACTTCAACTCCCGTTTCTCAGTTTTCAAAAGAAGCATCTCTAGTTTCTTCCCCCCTGGTACTCAAGACCCTTAATTTCCATTTTTTTATTAAATCGTTTTTTTAGCTGTGTTATAAGATTTAGCCTAGTTTTATGGTTTCATTTTGTTTTTATTTTGCCATAAGTTTACTTATGCTGTGTGTTTGTGTACCAATATAAATAAATAAATGCACTCTCTGATTACGTATAAGTTAATAAGCCCTATTATTTCTTGTATAGTAAACATAGCATCTGTATAAATGAAGGACAGCAAATAAAATACTTTTTTATCAGTAACAAAAACAAATTGCATTATGACTGTTATTAAATAAATAATAAATAAATATTTCCAACACACACCAATTAGCCCAGTCCCAAATGAAGCACTGTAAAGCCTGTGTTACGGGATGTTAGGGAAATGGATAGAATACATATACTGTACATATATAAGTATATTTTTATAGAAATACGTATTACACATCCATGAATGGAGTACAAATGCTCCTAGCCATCACACAAACATCTGCCGCCACCGGGATTCAAACCCGGGACCTCTCGAGTCGGCGACACTATGAAACCCGGCGTACAAACCACTCGGACACGGAGGTCGTCTATTAGTAAAACTGTTGTGGTACAGTGACTTGCAATATTTGTTCCTAGCAGACAAGTGATTAAAAACAATCATCACGCCGTCTGCTCCTGATAACTTTACTATATAAATGTTTGTGTTTTCGATTATTGCATGTCATTGCCATCCGTAACACCACATGAAATAGTACACATTGCGTTGGTGCCATGGCTATGCCGAATATTTCCGAGATTTTATTTTTATTTTTATTTATTTTAGTGGTGAAAAATGAAGCAGCAAGAATATTAGCAATATATCCAACACCGTCTATCAGCCACCAAGTAGCGTTTCGACCGCTGACACTCGAACTGATCAAAAGAGGCCATGAAGTGGTAGTTATAACGACAGATCCTATATTCCGGAAAGGTGAAGGTCCAACTAATTTGACAGAGATTGACGTCCACGATGTGTCATATAATCCTCTTTCCTCCAAGGAAAGGATTGTTGGAAGCGGATCTTACGCACGGAAGTAAAAACGATATGATCCCTCAAATGAAAGTGATGTTTAAATTGCTCTTAAAGATAACTGAGGTTCAGTTGCATCATGAGGAAATCAAAAACATACTAAAAGGCAACATGAATTTTGACCTTTTGATTCATGAAGCGTTCTGCTTGTCAAACTTAGCTTTTGCGCATGTCTTGAAAGTGCCCGTGATACAGATAAGTTCTCTGGGAGCGGTTCACGATGTGACGACTATCGTCGGGGCGCCGAACCATCCATTGTTGTACCCAGATCTTATGCAACAGAAAATTTTCAAACTGTCGTTTTGGGACAAATTGAATAACCTATACTTTAATTACCAAGTCAATTCAATGTCGCAAAGTTTAGAAAGAGGGATGGAAGATTTAGTCAAGAAAGAATTTGGTCCACATGTGCCCGCTATGAGTGAATTAAAGAAAAATGTCGATTTAGTGATGCTGAATGTACATTCGCTTTGGGAGATGAATCGCCCTACGCCGCCCAATATGATTTACTTGGGAGGTTTACATTTGAAACCTGAGAAGGAGTTACCTAATGTAAGTTCATAAAATATTAATTTAGTTAAGTATGCTTTAGTAATTAAGACACAAATTATATTTCTAATAAGAATAACAATTCTATAGTTCCGATTAAGCTTACTGAAAGGTGGTGCGGCAGAGATGTTCCTTCACTTCTACCACCAGTAATCTTTTGTAAGAGGCGTGAAGAAACAACTTGCAAAGTGGTAATATAAACTGCTGTGAACATTTTTTTAAGATTTAGCTGACTGACTTTTCTAGCTTCCTCTTCATTGTTTTGTATGGCTGTGTGTCAATAAGATGCTTATAATACTCCGAACCTTTGGAAACTGTAGCTCATTACATCAGTCGTTTTATAAAGTTATTCAACATAATATATATATATATATATATATATATATATATATATATATATATAGTATATTCATTCTGATAAAAACTGGCCAAGTCAAATCTAAACTACTTTAAGATCTCACATTTTTAAATAACGGCAATTGTTATAGATGTTCAATAATGCAAATATAGTTTAATATTTTTTCATAATGTCTTTTTTGTTCCTATAAAGACATATTTGGATTTTGCATAGAACCTGGCACTCATTTAGATCTCCACTCTTTTTGCGGCGAAGCCAACAGCCAAGAATATTTTTTGTATTCAACATGACTCTCCTTTTTAACATTTATGTTTTTGGTGGGATTATTTATACAAAACAAAAGAATATGCTCTTATTTTATTTACTAAATAATAACGGTAAATACAATTCCCTTAACAAAATTCCAATTGGAGATCAGAGGACCCTTTATTTATTTATTTATTTTTAATTTACTTTATATCAAAAAATGTCAATTCATATCCACATTATTATTCTAAAAGCGTAAGTGACGTAAGTCTATCTGTCTGTTACTACTTAACCGCTGAACGATTTAGATGAAATTCAATTTGAAAATAGTTTGAGACCCGGGAAAGGACATAAGATTATTTTTATTCCTTTAAAGAGGTGAAAAGAGGGGTGGAAATTTGTAGGAGGAACCAATTTTTCCACGCAAACGAAGTCGCGGGCACCCACTAGCATCCTTATATTGGACACAACCTCTTTCGTTGTCAAGTTGGTAACGACGGTATTAATTCGAATAATAATATCAGATCAATTCAATTTAATAATATCAGTTTATGGAACATTTAATTTGATCGAATATTTTTATTACAGGATATCAAATCGTATCTCGATTCATCGAAAAACGGCGTCATTTACATAAGTTTTGGGACCAACGTCGAGCCGGCTCTGCTGCCTCCGCAAAAAATCCAAGCCCTCATAAATGTGTTCTCCAAACTCCCATACGACATATTGTGGAAGTGGAACAGAGATGAATTGCCGGGCCGTAGCAAAAACATCAGAATATCAAAATGGCTGCCGCAAGCCGACCTATTAAGTCAGTTTTATTTGCTAAATAGTACAAAACAACATTATTTTTCGTGTTAATGTGAATTGTGAAAAATGAGACAGTGAAACGTGATGCTAACGACACGAAATTTCGATTTTTTTCATCCTTTAGAACTGAAAAGGGGTTTTAACCCCTTTTAACCTTAGCACCTTTAGGTGCTAATAATCCTGCAAAGGAGGGAGTTAATCTAGGAATTTGTTATTTATTAGTCATGTGAATTATTAGGCTAGCATCTAATAATATTCTATTGGATGGAATAGAAAAGTATAAGAGTTTAGAGAGTGATATTTAAAAAAGTTTTAATCTCTCTACCTTAAGATCAATTGCACCATTTATGTTACACCACTGTTAATCAGTTGTATTGAATACCACCCTTAACATCCCTTTAGTTAGTTGCAATAAGTTTCGTAAATGAAACGAAAAAACATAATAACGAGCTCATGAAATACTAATTACAATTATGGTTAATCACACAAAAGTTGTATCAAAACTATGTATGTATCTAAGTCAAATTAGGAAATAACTATTCCTTAAAATTTCAGGACACCCTAAAGTTAAACTGTTCATCACTCAAGGAGGTTTGCAGTCCACCGACGAAGCTATAGTGGCTGGGGTTCCGATGATCGGTTTCCCGATGTTGGGAGATCAGTGGTATAACGTTGAACAATACGTGCACCACGGTATCGGCTTACAAATGGACATGGAAACTTTAGAGGAGGATAAATTCAGAAACGCCATCAATGAAGTTCTGAATAATGACAGGTTCGGTCCATTTTTTGCCTAATTTTGTTTGATTTTGTTGTAATATGTTCCATTATTCCATGGTTTTCGCTAAGAACGCCACTTTTATCGTTTCTGCAGACTTTCCATCTCTCTTTGATATAACTCTCCTATATATATTTTAACACAATTTTTATTCATCTTTTCTTTTCGCAGTTGCCTCTTATTCATTCTATTTTTCAACATTCTCTAATCTACTACTTATATGCTTTAACAATGATACTTTTGATACTGCATAATAAATATATTTATCCACTCAATTAATATTAATAGGATAATATGATTAATTACCTAAACATTAGATAATTATTTTAGAATCAGGGGCTGTACTTAACTTTATGAATAGGCACTGGCTATCAGATCAATATAATAATTACGATAAAGTCAAATAATAATTTCTTCATAACTAAGAGACTTTTTGCTTCTATTTTTAATACACTTGCGCCTACCTACTTAGAATTATTCGTACACCTACATATTGATGTTGTTAGTGTGAATAAATAACTACTTCCTTGTTTGAGTAATCGGCATTGTTGTTTGAGCAGAGCTCAACCTAAAGATCAAGATCAACTCAACAACAAAATTGATATGTCAACAATGATATTTCTATGAGGTACCATTTTTAAATAAACTTAATTTTGGATGATAATGAAGTTTAACAAACAACCAAATACCATTAACCTTCAAAAGTAGTATCCACCAGTTTTGAAGTTGTCGCCATTTCAAAAGACCTTGGTTCGAATCCCGGTGGGGAAAATATTTGCATGAATACGAGGATACGTACCTAAAAAAGGGAATTGGACAAGTTTTAGAAAATGATTTCATGATATTATATAGACGCTATGCTATCTCACTTGTATGTGACGTCACACGACTGTCATTATAAGGTCAAACTATACTACGTAATGTTACTTTGACCGGAAGTTTACTAGCGTGTGATGTCATTTTAGTCTTTCGTCTTCTATCCATGTTTTCGACCACGTAACCATAGAACAAAAAAAAATATATTTCTTTATAAAGATATTTTTTTTAAAAAGTGATTTATTATATGTTCTCTCAGAATTGTAAAATTGCTGCTAATATGCCAACAATTGGTACTTTATTTCTTATACTGCCAAATTCTGTTGTTTGATAAATTGTGTAAGGAAGTTCTGATCTAATTTTAGTAAATATGCCGATTGAATAAAATTAATACGTAGTGTCCACATGATACTATAATACTATTTTTATCAACTACCAGTCATTATCTACACAATGAACTTTACGCTAGACGTTGATAATAAGGTTGAGCCTCTTTATATATGATAATTATTAGTCCCTTTAGTGATAAATGGTTTGCTAACAAGGAGATTCAGATTAGTTTTCTCGCTTGGCCACTTGGTATAGATATATTGACTGTGGGCAAACCGTTTTTTTACTAGACCGTACGCATTATGTTTATTCTTTCTCAATTGCCTCATCATTATCAACAACACAAGGTAATTTATCATCCATTTGCTTTTTTATTTAATGTCAATTACAGACCTTGATGTAAATTGGTGGCAATTTTAGAATGGTGTTGAGACTTGTGCTCGTAAATTAACTTGACAGCTTTGTTAATATTGTGCCTCTTCGTTCCTCGCCTCTGTGAGCTAAAGTCGTATGCAGGAATCAAAAAACATCTTCATTTAAATCTCTTGTTACAAATTTTTTAGTTAGTTCACACAGATTCCTGACTAGCCGAAACCCAATTGCCATCCAACTTTTGTATAGATGGTAATAAGTTATATTTATCAAGTCATAGTGAGAATTATATTTGTAGTGAACTGGTATCTGATAATATTTACCCTTGAATTGGCCTTGACCGAAATATTTAGTTTTAATGATATTTAGGGTCATCAACGGCCTGCCAACGCAATATAAATTGCTTTACGTACGATATTTCACTATCAGCTTTTACCTGAACGTTACCTTCGTTCTTTAAGATAACGTCTTACTCATAGTCGATATTTTTTTTTTGTTCCTCTTACTGCAGAATACTTATTACTCATGTTTACCATATTTTGTTTCAGATATTTTATGATTTTTCTCATTATTGTCCATACTCACACACATTTTTTCTCGTTATTTCTATACCATGATATCCATTTCCTCTAAATTCCGTACTGACACTTCTTCTTCACTTTATCTTTTCTGTTCAGCCCACACAACCGTCTAAACATACGCTTTCTCTTATTCATCGACAACTATTAGTAGTTTTCCGATTGCATACTGACATTTCCTTTACTTTCTTTTTAATTGCCATCCTATACATCGATCTAAACAAACGCTGTTTCTTATTCGTCTACAGGTCTTTGTACGATAAGGTCACTTATGTTTAGTTTGTTTGCTTCAGTTATCGACGCAACATCAGGCGTCTCAGGACTTTAATACAAGACCAGCCCCAGACCTCGCTGCAGCGTGCCGTGTGGTGGACGGAGTACGTCATCAGACACAGAGGCGCACGGCACCTGCGCTCTCCTGCTGCCAACATTACCTGGGCGGAGTACCTGGAATTAGAACTCGTATTCTACGTACTTGCAGCATGCTCTGCTTTTCTCGCAGCTTTAATTTTTATTGTTAATAAAGTATCAAAAATGGTGAGGCTAAGTATAAAGTTGAAATCTAGTTAGGTAGAATCGATATTTTATGTAATAATTATTGTAAATAGGACGAGTTAGATATTGTTCTTTAAAGGTTTGACAAAGAATCTGTTTTAAATTCTTTGTTGATAAGTCAAGAAAGTGATATAGTAATTAAAAGAAAGTGAGCGTCGTTGTGTTTAAGTGTACTTATAGTCTTTTAGTAGTATTAATGTTATTGTCAATATTGCCAAGTTAATTTTAAATTGATTTTTTATTCAATTATATTGTATCACAAAAATATGTTGTTTCAATGATTTACGACAAGATATTTATGACTTAATCCTTATCTTTTATCAATTAAAGTTTCAATCCAAAATAAAGACAGTTTAGATAGTAAATAATATTAAAAATATTAATTCTAAATTTGTTTACTTTGTACACACAATAAAATATTTCAGAAACAAGAGATATGTACAATACATACATATACAATATAACAAATAAAGAACTGAAACTCTTGATTTTTGGAGTCATTCATAGCTAATTAGGTATAAGATTAAAACAAAAGGTACTCTAAATAATTGTTATCATCATTACTGTTTAAAGTACCCTATTAAACGCAAATAAATGGTATTATTTGATTTTAAATGCTCATAAATTGCCTGTGGATATGACTAACGACCTAACTTTAGGTTTTTTGAGAATCCCTCAGCGACATAACAATATTTGGGGATAAAAAGTATCCAATGTCTCAATCCAGGTTATAAACATTATGCGTATTAAATTTCATCCCAATCCGATAAATAGTTTTCTTGCGTGATGAAGTAACAAAACATACAATTTGTGAATTTCTCTAAGCCTAAAGGTTGACTGGCAGAGAATGCCTTTAGCGTTAAGTCCGCCTGTTGTCCATTTTTGTAATTGTGGCAATAAAGTTTAAATAAATAAAATACAAAATTTCACTTTTAAAATATTAGTAGGAAGTAGGATAAAATATACATATTATTTGTATCAGCATAATGTATACTATCCGTTACCCTAGTATCCAATAACAACTTTCAGTGCTTACTCCGGGGCTAGACTAATTGGTAGGTTTGGAAATATTTATTTATTTCATTTACTAAGTTAATGTTAAATTAAAAACGATTTAAAATACTACAAAACTACTAGTAAGTCGATTTATACATTTAGGGGTTCGTTCAGTGTTTCATACACTTTACCATCGCAATGCTGTCGGTTATAAAGAGAGGTAGGGGCTGTACACATACACACACATTAAAACGTACTCTTGCTACGTGAATTTTAGATGTATTGCAATGGCATAAGATACACAAAGAACCATTTTATGGGATTTACAAAAGCCTGTTCCCTTAAGTTTACACAGGAAATGCATTACGCATGTTCCGTTGGTTGCGAAACCTCATTTTGCTACTACCAAAACAGAGCTGCTGGGATTAATTAGGAAATTATTATTGTATTTATAGTAAAATCTTAGATTTTATATTTATTATTATTTTAAAAAACATGTATTTCTGAAACGTAAGTACGCACATAACTTTTGAAAGACTGTACCGAACTGGAAAATTATTTTTCTGTAGTGTTCGTTAATGTCAGTACAAGGTTTATACGAAGGACTTTTTTTATAATGTACCGAAGAAGCCGGACAAACCACCAAGTCTGTATTTATAAAAGGCAACCGTTACTGACTATTTTATGAAGGCATAGCACAAATCACTGAATGGATTGCGTTGAAATTTGGTACACAGATAGCTATTATGCTGTTGACGTGCGTTAAGGAAGGATTTTTCAAAACTCACCCCCTGTAGGAGTAATATGGGAATTCATAGTTTGTATGGAGCACCAAGATCGCGTTACGCACCTTTAAATAAAGTTTTGTAGAATTTGATTGTGTTCATTGATTCATTCATCAATTCAATTCAATTGATCAATTCAATATCAAATCTAACGCGAGCGAAAACGCGGACAAAAGCTAGTTTATAATGGAGATACAAAACAATTAATAGTGTATAGTTTAGTAAGTAAGTAAAATAAGAATAAGTAGAATAGGTTCCTAAGTTTATACTAACGCTAAAACATGACTATGTTTTTTTATCAGGCAGGACATGTTTCGTCGGGTCCAATAGTTAAACATGTTTTCCATGATATCAAAGAGTAATAATGACCACACTTATAACAAGTGAGCCAAAATACTAATTCATGATACGATATCTATTTTGTAAAAAAAAGTAAAGTACAACAGACAATAAACTAAACCTACAACATGACTACAATTTTTTTTATCAGGCACAGCATTGTTTGTCGGGTCCAGTTGTTTAACATGTTTTCCATGACATCAAAGAGTGATAATCACACTTATCACAAGTGAGCGAAAATGCACACTCATCATACGATGATGATATTGACTTTGTACAAAAAAGTAAAGTAGGTTAGATATAATCTTCTACTACTAATTTCATATGATGAAATGTTTATCATTTTAAGTCTGGGTTGCGGCTATTATGATATCACTAGTTCTTAAAATTTATTGATATTTTTTAATAGATAATTTGTTTATGTAAATGAAACAGCTGTAAAGATAATGTGAAATTGTATTTACTGTTATATAATAAATTATTTATGCACGAAAATTTTATCATTAAATAAACTTATTACATGCATACTAAATGCATATACTATCAGTGTTGCCAACTCTACGTCTTTTTACGTAGATCTACGTATTTTAGGCCTGCAAACCTACTAACTTCAGTCCCAGAATCTACGTATTTTCTTAAATTTTCTCAAATTTGTAAAATAACTTAAATCACTAGAATAAAGAAGAATATTTTCCGTTACTTTACTATACAAATGTTTATTTCTCATAAAGATGCATCTAAAACTCTTATTTCTTGTAGAAAAGGTTCCCGTTATTTGATTTGTTGACTAAATTAATGCTGGACGCAGGATTTGTGAAGCAGAAACGACAAAACTCTTTGATATAGTAGGTACATTCATAACCTTAAAATGATTATTTTTAAACTTAAAATCTTATTCAATGAGTACTTGCATTGAATTGATCTTTGCAAAAAGAAATGACTTTCAGTCGATAAAGTTACAGAATTTAGCAAGTTTTAAACATGATTGTGTTCATGTGTAAGTATGTTTATTTCTCTTGGCAATTTGAACCAAAACTTTTCTAGAGTCTTTTACCAAGTGTATCATACCTACTATATTTTTCATGTGATCTATTAAAAATCATGGTTTCGTAATATTAACTCAGAAAGTTTATTTCCTGCGTGCTTGCGAGTGTTGGTTTACAAATGTTTTGACGTCATAGATAAGTCTATAGATAAATAGCGTTTTTGTATGTCTTCTAGGTAAAAAAAAAATTTTTTTTCGTTCTGATAGAACAATTATTAACAATTTAAAACATAATTGCAAAAAGTATCAACTAGCCTATTTAACAACAGTGCATCCTTGTCATTCTCTATACAGAATGAAAAGGAGAGACTGATGTTAAATTTAGTTTTAAATTTAGAGAATCATGCCAGAATCGATACCTACCAGTGTCTGTGTCTGATGGTAAATGTCTACCACAGCATGGTTAATGCTTCCAATGCAGCGACTTCTCCAAGACTTCTTTGTTCTATCTCCCGTTTTTAAAGAAATTATCCAAATACTCGTTTAATTCGGTTTCTCCTAACTTCTTCATTTCACTCAGAAAAAAGTACGTAGATCTACGTACTTTTCATATGCAAATTTTACCAATTCTACGTAATTTTCTCATCGGGCCTACGTCTTTTTCTAAATCCGAGTTGGCAACACTGTGTACTATGAAGAATAATACAAGTAATTGCAATTTAGTTTTATCTTTTACTAGCAGACTCGGGGAAGTCCGTACCGCCTACGGTCGTGATTTTTAGCTTAATTTAAGTTAGGATTTTAATAACGAATTTAAATTAATTGAAAATGCGTTTTGGGCAGGTTTTGAGTGCCGTGAATACGAGAAAAATAATGCAATGTCATTTAAAAGTCTGATATCTCAGCTGTATCAATATGACCCGCCAAACTTTTATACATTTTTATTTAATCACTGCGCTTTCAACCGCATTAATTTAAGAATAAAGGTTATAGTGGTTCTTGACACAAAGTTGACGTCACACAGTAGACGTCATCGAACCGAGCGTTTTGGCGTTAATAAATTCATTTTTAATTGGTTTCTTGGAGAAAAAAGGACATCAATTAATTTATTTAGATTTTTCTGTTAAACCGTTTGTAATCTTTAAATATAAACAGTTTTCAAAACTTTGGAAAATACCCTATTGGTATATTCTAAGTCTGTCTCTCACAGTTTATTTATGTCACGTAATTTATTCGGCTTGTTTTGCTCGGCCTAGTTTTTTTTGTATTCTAATTACGGTAGAAGCGAAGACTATGTGCGCAAAACTGGTTCACAAGTGTTTTTTTTAACTAAGTTAGTTACATTGAATCTGGTCCCTGAGAAGTATTGTTTCTATTTTAGTAAAAAAAAACCCTTTTGAATTTACTGTATTGATGATGTTCTTCTGTATACATTATAGGGATTTTGTAAAATGAGAAAAAAGTTGCAGCCGTGCTATTCTGTAGGAAAAAACTCACTTTTCATCGCGGAATTCGCGTGTTATTTGAAATCAGTACCCTTAGCACGAACCATTATCGAATTCGAATAGTTTACGAGTGCGAAATGTCGATGTCAAATTTTGTATGGAAACTTGAACAGCAGCACCATAAAGTACGTAAAGAGAACTTAAAATCAGTACACATTTGACAATGACATTTTGAACTCGCAAATTATTCGAATTCGATATTGTACGAACCAATATCGAATTCGCAACGTTTGCGAATCCAAAATTTCATTGTAATTTTTTATGGAAACTTGAACAGCTGCACCATAACGGACGTAACGAAAACTAAAAATCAGTACACATTTGATAAAGATACTTCGGACTCGCAAACTATTCGAATTCGATATTGGTTCGTGCTAAGGGTAACAGAATACAAATTTCAAATCCACCACCGTGGATTCTGTCGTGAAAAGTGAGTTTGTTTTTACAATTTAAATATGGTCGTTCCTCTAATAATTATAAAGACCGATTGTCAAAGTTTCGTGTAGTCTCCTTACAAGCCAGACGTAAAGGATAAGATTTACTTTCGTAAAACGATTATTATATTAGCTGTGTTATAAGATTTAGCCTAGTTTTAGGGTTTTATTTTGCCATAAGTTTACTTTTACTGTGTAAACTGTTGTGGATAGCAGTTTAAATTTTTACCAGATTTATGTTTTTTAACCATGTAATAGCTGCACTCTGTTTGTGTACCAATATAAATAAATAAATGCACTGTCTGATTACGTATAAGTTAATTAGCCCTATTGTTTCTTGTATAGTAAACATAGCATCTGTCTAAACTTACTAAACAACAAATTTACTAATACTACTGTAAATGAAGCGCAGTAAATATTTTTTATTATTAATAACAAAAACAAATTGCATTATGTCTGTTATTAAATAAATAATAGATAAATATTTCCAACACACACTAATTAGCCTAGCCCCAAATTAAGCACTGTAAAGCTTGTGTTAGGGGATGCTAGGGTAACGGATAGAATACATATACTGTACATATCTAAGTATATTTATATAGAAATACATATTAAACATCCATGAATGGAGTACAAATGCTCCTACCCATCGCACAGACATCTGCCCCTACCGGGATTCAAACCGGGACCTCTCGAGTCGGCGACACCATGAAACCCGGCGCACAAACCACTCGACCACGGAGGTCGTCTATTAGTAAAACTGTTGTGGTAAAGTTACTTGCAATATTTGTTCCCAGCAGACAAGTGATTACAAAAAATCATCACGCCGTCTGCTCCTGATAACCTTACTATATAAATGTTTGGTTTTGATTATTGCACGTCATTGTCATCCGAAACACCACATGAAATAGTACATATTTCGTTGTTGCCATGGCTATGCCGAATATTTCCGAGATTTTATTTTTATTTTTATTAGTTATAGTGGTGAAAAATGAAGCAGCAAGAATATTGGCAATATACCCAACACCGTCTATCAGCCACCAAGTAGCGTTTAGACCGTTGACACTCGAACTGATCAAAAGAGGCCATGAAGTGGTAGTTATAACGACAGATCCTATATTCCAGAAAGGTGAAGGTCCAACTAATTTGACTGAGATCGATGTCCACGATGCATCTTATAATACTTGGAGGAAAGGATTGTTGGAATCGAATCTTACGCACGGAAGTAAAAACGATATGATCCCTCAAATGAAAGTGATGTATAAATTGCTCTTAAAGATAATTGAGGTACAGTTGCATCATGAGGAAATCAAAAACATACTAAAAGGCAATATGGAGTTTGACCTTTTGATTCATGAATCGTTCTGCTTGTCAAACTTAGCTTTCGCGCATGTCCTGAAAGTACCCGTGATACAGATAAGTTCAATGGGAGCGGTTCAAGATGTGACGTCTATCGTCGGGGCGCCGAACCATCCATTGCTGTACCCAGAACCTATTCAACAGAAAGTTTTCAATTTGTCGCTTTGGGACAAATTGAGTAATCTATACAATAATTACCAACTCAATTCAGTGTCGCAAAGATTTGAAAGAGCGATGGAAGATTTAGTCAAGAAAGAATTTGGTCCACATGTGCCCACTATCAGTGAATTAAAGAAAAATGTTGATTTAGTGATGCTGAATGTACATTCGTTTTGGGAGATGAATCGCCCTACGCCGCCCAATATGATTTACTTGGGAGGTTTACATTTGAAACCCGAAAAGGAGTTACCTAAGGTAAGTTCATAAAATATTAATTTAGTTAAGTATGCTTTAGTAATTAAGACACAAATTATATTTCTAATAAGAATAACAATTCTATAGTTCCGATTAAGCTTACTGAAAGGTGGTGCGGCAAAGATATTCCTTCACTTCTACAACCAGTGATCTATTGTAAGAGGCATGTAGAAACAACTTGCAAAGTGTTAATATAAAATGTTGTGAACATTTTTTCTTATATATGCGAGTATACACACACACATATATATATATATATATATATATATATATATAATTAATTCTAAGCCTATAATTAAGGCCAAGTCAAATCTAACCTACTTTAAGATTTCACATTTTAAAATAAAACAAAAGAACATGCTCTTATTGTATTTACTAAATATAAAAATAATAACGGTAACTACAATTCCCTTAACAAAATTCC